CCATAAAATCACATAAATCATGATGGTCAAAAACACTAATCGGTTTCCGGTTCGGCTGCCGATAGGGCCTTCAATTCGCAATTTAAACACAAAAATATGAATAGATAGTCAAATAACCAAACAGATAGAATTACAATTAAACAGGTATACTCAGTCAATTCAGTTTCAATTTCAGTCGGTCAGTTCAGTAGTTTATTCAGTTCACTTATCAGTCATAATCAGTTTCAGTTTAACGGTAATCAGTGGTTAATCAGCAAACAGTGACGAGGGTTATTACAGATATAAGGAAGTTTCTAAAGAGCGTTTAAAAAACAAGTAACACACACTCTCTCTCTCTCTCTGACAACTCTCAACTTTCTCTCTAAGTTATCATTCCGACCACATTTCCATCTAACTTGATTGCTGGAGGGTCCACAAGAAGGAGCCATCCTCATTTCGGAACCTTTTTATTGGACTTGTTGCAGGTGTGACCAAGAAAACGAAGAAAAGTCGACTTGTGGAGTGCTTGGATCAGTCCGACCCATATCCTGCCGACCAAACTGCATTATCAAACATCAAAACAAATAATTTATATAACATAAGAGAGATATAGTTACGATGAACTTTACAATTTATGAGTGAGAAAAAATAAATGAATAAAATTATGTATTGTGTCACTTGTGTATATAATATTTTCAATAATATCTAACGATCAAAATTACTTTAATATCATCGAATGACTAATAGTTTATATGTATATTCAATATTTTTATATATAATTTGGGTTTTGGGTTGTTCGGATTGTTCAATGTCTCTACTCAAACCAATTCAAATTTAATTCGAATCTGAATTTTTGCCGAAACTTATATCGAATTTAAAAATATTTTATCCAAGTCCAAAAACATTTCGGGTTGAGCCCACCCAAGTTGTACCCTTACATTTAATTTAACCAATTCAGGTAAAAAAAAGTCTCCAATTTTATATCTTTTAACAATTTTATCAAATTTAAGTAAAAAAAATAGTTGTTAAAAATTTAATGAAAGATTTTCTTAAGCCCTCATTTGATAAATTTTTTATTTAATATAAGTTTGATGAATAAATTGAAATTTACTTATACTAAATTTAAATTTGATGAAAATTTATTGAAAGACTGAAGATAGTAAAAATAGAATAAGTGACGGATTTATGAGAGATGAGGGCAAAGTTAAGCGGGGCTATGCAGAGTCGAGAAAGAAAATGGAGGAGGAGGAGGATGATAAGTTCAAGGCTTTTTCCAATGACCACAGTGTTAAAAATTGAATGAAAGATTTTTTTTAAGCCCTCATTTGATAAATTTTTTATTTAATATAAGTTTGATAAATAAATTGAATTTTACTTCTATTGAATTTAAATTTAATAAAAAATTATTGAAAGACCGAAGATAATTAAATAGAATAAGTGACGGATTTATGAGAGATGACGGCAAAGTTACGCGGGGGCTACGCGGAGTCGAGAAAGAGAACGGAGGAGAAGGAGGAGGGGGATAAGTTCAAGGCTTTTTCCAATGAGCCACGTCCCTATCCCATGCCATGTTGAAAAGTTCCCACTTTGTTTTGGACTTTTCTCAATAATTGAACATTATAATACTTGCGATTCCATTTGTTCTCTCCCTCGCTCATACCACCAAATTGTGGATTTGGGTTGCTGTTGTATCTTTCAGGCACAGTAATTTGTTGTCTCTTTGTGGATGGTTGTTTCAAATATTTTTTATAATTTAAATCGTTTATATTGTAAGATTTATTAAAAATATTATTTATATAAAAACTCAAGTTAATCAGATATTCGTAACTCTATAATTATGTCTTAATTATTTTTAAAAACTTATGAAAGTTAGATTAACTATTAATTTTTTTAAAACAAATGTGTTTTTATTATAGGATTGTAGATATCTAATCAACTTGATTTTTTGCATAGACGATCTACTCGATGAATCTTATAATATGAACAGTTTAGATTATCAAAAAAAAGTTATGGACCATGCTCCACAAGAGAGCGCAGCAGCCTAATGTGCCTAAATCCCCAAATTATTATTATTATTATTATTATTTTTAATTATAAAAAAGTGGTATGATTTTAAAATAATTATATTATACGTGGAAAAAAATTGTATAGGTCTTGACATATAAAAAAAACTTTTGTACCACTATCAAAATAAAACTATTTTTCTACTATTTAACAGAAATGCTATTTTTTTTAGTCTTCTTTTCCCCTTTCCAATCATGTCATGCTTCAAAATTCCAAATTCACCCCTCTATTGTCCATTGTTAAAGATATGAATTGTAAAATCACGTTTAAGTTTTTAAATGAAACATTGATTAACAAAAATCCTAATAATCTATAATAACTAAAAAAAACAGCAATACTAGGTGATCCAAAAAATCATGACTTGAATGGTTCAAGACATCAAAAATGACGTCGTTTTAAGTGTAAAAGGACGTCGTTTTGACATATTCAAACTATTTGAATCACAAACATTCGGACCATCAAATATTTTCCAAAAAATTATTACAATAGTGTTACTTGCGATCAAATCAACTCAAGTGTTTTTTACTCTTAGGTTTCTCTCTCTCTACAGCAAGTCTTTTTTTTTTTTTTTTTGGACTCAAGCTCTTTTATGTTTTTACAAAATTCAACCTTAATTTTCTTAAAATATTATTATTATTATTATTATTGAAAAAATGCATTTTTACTCTTAGGTCACATTTGCTTGATGGATTAGGTTGGATGCGATTGTTAGTGAAAGGATGGTTAATGAAAAGATTATTAATGTGGGGATTGTTAGTGAAGGGATTAAGTAAAAATGTGTTTGTTTTGATGATAGTATGAGAGATGGTTAGTGATGAAATTGTTAAATTATTTTTATATAAAATAAATAAATAAATTATTTTTATGTTAAAAAAAACTAAAACAAATATTAAAACAAACAGGTACACTTGGTAAAAAAATAAAATTAAATTAAAAAAATAATTTTTTTTTATATAAAATAGACTTAATCCTCTCATTATTTTTCTAATCTCACCCAAAACCCAACCAAACTAATCCCCATACTAAGAGGGATTACTAAGCCCTTTAGCATGCCCTCCCATATCATTACCAAACATGTTGTGGGTGGAACCCACAACCATGGTAGTCTAATCCAGCTAGGGCTAAGCAATGAATCCTTAAAATCTATAATTCGATCCGGTCCAGTCCAATCCTGTAGGTTTAGATTGATTTTTTGAATTCGTGGTTCGATTTAAGATTGAAAAATTAAAAATCCGTAGTCCACAGATCGGTTCCGGATTGGAACCCCATGGTTCTGGATTAGAACTGATCTGCAATATATACAAATAGCCTATATTTATATTATACATCCTCTCACATAGTATATTATCTTATTCTATATAAAATCTAAACCCGCGTGATATCTTCTTTTATTGCTTTTGTTTGTTGGTTTTTAGTTTTAAATTGTAATGGTTTAAATACGTATGGTAGAATCAGTTTTCTCATGGTTGTTTAAATTCTAGAACAATATGTCACTATTATGGAAATACATATTGCTATTGTGGAACTAATATGATACTATGTTTATATTTTTATGAAATTAAAATGTTCTATATATATATATATATATTGTTATTTAATCGCATCTCTAGATAGAAGTGTTGGGGGCCTACCCGGTCCCCTAACATTTCTATCTAGAGATATGATGTAGCGAGGATTGATGGAAGTATTAGGGGACCTGGTAAGCTTAGATTAACATTGGCTAACATTGTAAATAGAGATATGGATCTATTTAATTTGACTAATGAAATGGCTTTTGATAGAGTCGCGTGGAGAAAAAGGATTTATGTAGTCGACCCTGTTTGATGGGACTTAAGGCTTGGATTGGTTTGGTTTAATTATGTGAATTCGTGATCCTAAACCGATCCAATTCGTGTTTAAATGGTTGGTTCGGATTGGTTTTACAATTTAAACGGATTGGATTGGTTTCAATTTTTCAAGAACCGTAAATAACGGATAGGTCTTGGTTTTACTCCAATACAAACCAATTTGAACCATGTTCACCCTTAAATCCAGCCACTCAAGCGGCGAAACAAACATGGCCTTAGGATTTGTTTGATTAGATAGATTATAACATAAGATTATGATTATTAATCCAAGACTCATTCTATTCTTTAGTTACAAATTTTATTATTCAAATTAGATTTTAATGACTATTCTATTCAATAAAATTACCAGTTTTATTAATCCTATGACTAATAACGTAAAATATACATATAATTAAAATTACATATTTTCATATCAATTACAAAATAAAGGTGAACAATATATATATATATATATATAACTCACTAATCTAATCCTATACTAATTTCATAAATAATTAACCACTAACTATTAATCTTGGGGAGTTTGGGGTACCACCTAAATAAGTTGTTTATTAACTTATTTTTGTCATATTATTTCTTCATCTTTTTTTTTAACGTATTTTTGTAATAAATAAATAAATAAATCCAAAAAGAAAGCCATACTAGTAGCTAAACCGAAAATTATTAGATATTTTTAAAATATCACGTCTCTATATTTTTTTGACTAATCATTATTTATCATGTTTCATATATTCTTCAAACACTCCGGATAAAATCATAAACTCCTCATTTTTTTAACCAATTATAATATCTAAAGCTCCACCTGACCGTACTCGTGTTGCAAGAATATCCAATAACTTCCCTAATTGAATCTGTTTTATTTTATTTTATTTCTTGGGAACACTTCCCTAATTAAACATGGCCTACAATTGGATGATAGATGGGGCGTACTAGGCAACCAAAATTAGTCAGCGTCATTGAAGCATAGCCACGGAATTGTATGGAACGGATGACCGTTTGGGCATCCGCATCATCTTCCGGGCCCCACATTCCACCCTCGCCCCCGTTCCCTCCAGACTCCATCCCAACCCCTAACACCAACACCAACAACTCCAACGCCAACTCCAACTCATCTGTCCATTGTTTTCTTCCTTTGTATTCTAAACTCTTCTCTGCGTGCAGGTTCTCTCTCTCTCTCTCTACATATATATCAGAAGTAGATAGAAGGGAAGCAGTTGTGGAACATTGAGTTGAATCGGACGGCGAAGGAGAGAGAGGGAGAGAATAAGCATGGCCATTCCGGGGACGAGGACGCGCGTAGGCAAGTACGAGATCGGTAAAACCCTGGGTGAGGGTAGCTTTGCCAAGGTCAAGTACGCTAAGAACACCGAAACCGGTGACAGCGTCGCCATCAAAATCATCGACCGTGACCGTGTCCTCCGTCACAAGATGGTCGAACAGGTTCTCTCTCTCTCTCTCTCTTGTTTAATACTCTTATAATAAGCGTATTTTTATGGAATAATCGTTCTTTTTTAATTTATCTATGACCTTATGTTTGGTAGAAAAGAATAGAAATGATTGTGTAAAAAAAAAAAATTGTAATTTCTCTCCTCTTGTTTGTTTGATTAAGCTCTACAAAAAAATAAATAAATAAAATGATACAATGTTGGTCTTTGGTCATCGGAATGAGGTATGACTTAATTATTGATTTTGGCTTGGTTATGATATTATAACTCATTGTCATTGTGATGTTATTTGGTTATAATTTAAAAAAATTTGGTTATATTATAACTCCTCTTTTTTTTTTCTTTTATATATATATATATATATATAAATTATGACTTGTAAAAGATTTAGTTATAGTTATGATTACTTGCATATGATACTATAAAGTACTACTGCTTTTTTATTAAGAATAATTTTTTGTGAATAATTTTTTTTTTTTTTTTTTTTTTTTTTTTGGAGGGATAATTATTGATAGTTTTATTTTTTTTGTTTTCAGATTAAGAGAGAAATTTCTACGATGAAGTTGATCAAGCATCCTAATGTTTTAAAACTCATCGAGGTATCAATGCAATTCGATTTTATGCAATCACTGCAGTTTATATTTGCAGTACAATATTTTCTTATCAATGTGAATTTAAAAAGGTATGTTCATAGTTCACATAGCATATGTGCACTCCCAAAATTTATGCTCAAATAATGATCTCATTACAATGAAATGGTTCTGCAGGAACAGGACAGTTATTGATAAAATTCTCATAGTATTTTTCTAGGCTAAACCGCATTCAAGATTCGTGTGATGCCCTATTCAAAATTAACACACCTTTATTGTATAATTTGATTGTCCATAATGGTACTCCCTTATTTTAAGATCATGAAAACAAAAATAAGTTTGAGATTTTGAGGCTAAACTAAAAGTGAAATGCTTGCATTTTCAGTATGTATCTCTGGTTTATTTTATGAAATCTGAATAGTGCGCTTACTCAGGCTTGGGAAGGAACAAATCGATGTGTCAATTGAAAAAAATGCATTAATTGATATGAATGTGGATGCTTGTGACCCTTCATACTTTTTGTTTTTTTGTTTTTTTTTTAAACTGTACAATATAATCAGTTCACCAGCTTGTACTTATATTTGTCCATTTCACAAATATGATGGTTTAAGTGTTTCATGCTTTCCATGTTAATGCATCCTTTTTCTATGCTTGAAAATAGGTTATGGCAAGCAAGACAAAGATCTACATTGTGCTCGAGTATGTTGGCGGGGGCGAGCTTTTTGACAAAATAGTAAGGCATTGTTTTTTGAGCTTCTACTCTTTGAGCACCTGTAATTTCATTCATAATATAATCAATTGTGTAATGCATTACATCTTAATTTAGGCATTTGCTTATGTCATGCTTACCATTTTGTTGTGGCAATGTGTGTTCTATTGAGGCTCATTTATGTAAATCATGTGGGTATCGAGTCTTGTTTTTGTATGATAATATTCCCTTGTTGACCCTTTTACGACTAGGCCAAACTAGGGAGACTAAAAGAGGATGAAGCTAGGAGATATTTTCAGCAGCTCATCAATGCTGTAGACTACTGCCACAGTAGAGGCGTGTACCATAGAGACTTAAAGGTTTAACAAACTTTCTTGCATATTTCATTAATTAATTAATATATTTGTTCTAATTTTTTCCTATAAAAAAGAATTTATTATCAAACAGTAATTTGGTTTCTTTGGCTATCTATCAGAAATTTGCATTAACCTTCATCTTTTGCAGCCCGAAAATCTGCTTCTAGACTCATTTGGTGTTCTCAAAGTTTCAGACTTTGGATTGAGTGCATTTTCCCAGCAAGTGCGGGTAAGTATTATGTGAGTTTGCAACAATTTCCTCATCTAAGAGCAGATTTTTAGCAGGTGGGTGTTAATAAACTGAACGTTAACTTTTTAAAAGTGGTTGCAGCACTGAGTCAATTTTTCAGTCTATCTGGTTTACTAAAATCACCTAGTCCGGAAGCTACCTTTCCAGCCAAGAGCAGTGCCCTTTTCTGAAAGGAATCCATTAGTTTTTCTTCTGTCCTTCAGTGGCTTGTTCATTTCTTGTTTCTATTAATTTGGAAATTAACTTTTTCTTATGTTTTGTGTCTTTCCCTTCCCTCTTTTTATATTAGTTTCCCCAAATGAAGGAGGCAGTTTAGTTTTATTAGTTGACTTCTTCATAAGATTCTGTATCATGCATCACCTAGATTTTGACACTTTGAAAACATTCAGTGACCATTTTTTAAGACTTGATCTAATCCACATTGAGGTTATATGACCTCAATGTCATTCAGACACATAAGTTATGGATTGCCTTAAACATAACCCTCATTCATCAATATAAGGTAGTGTTGTGGCTTTGCTTAATCAAAGACTGACTGCCTTTTTTACTGTAGGAAGACGGGCTGCTTCACACTGCCTGTGGAACCCCAAATTATGTTGCTCCTGAGGTATCAATTATGATGTCATGGAAATGGATGGTCACTTTGATGCAATTTTTTTCTCCTTTTCTTATTAGTTTCTTGCATTTGTGATACTTCTTTCTTCTTTTTTTATTTTTTATTTGATTTTCTCTTTTGTATTAGGTGCTCACCGATAAAGGTTATGATGGTACAGCAGCTGATATATGGTCTTGCGGGGTCATTCTGTTTGTTCTTATGGCTGGATACTTACCTTTTGACGAGCCGAACCTCATGGCTTTGTACAGGAAAGTAGGTTTCAAGAACTCTGCTACCTGTTTTCTGATGCTTTGAAATTTATTAATCACATTATGAATGGACTAACTGTTTTTCAGATCCACAAGGCCGATTTCTCTTGTCCATCGTGGTTTTCATCGAGTGGAAAAAAATTGATTATGCGTATTTTGGACCCCAATCCATTGACTGTGAGCTCCACATCCTTTCCTGGTTTAAACTTCAATGAAGATGCACATATGAAATCTTTTATTTTCTTGTTAAACTTTGGCTGTTCTGTTGCAGCGAATAACAATTCCTCAAATCTTAGAAAATGATTGGTTCAAGAAAAGTTACAAGCCACCACAATTCGAGCAGGGAGAGAATGTGAACCTTGATGATATAGATGCTGTTTTCAATGACACAGAGGTAGGACGTTCACGTTTCTTTTTTGAGTTAGCTTCACTGAGAAAGTTTATTTTAAAGCTAGATCCCAGTTTGTCTTTTTTCCCCAGTGTAGATCCCTTTGCAAATGATATCATGACAACAGATGTTATTAAGTTTGTTAGATGCCTAGGTGGTTTTAACTGGCAATATTGCCAACTTAAAACGAAACAATGATAGTGAGTGTGAGTCCTATTTTTGAAGCTATCTGTTTAATTTAACGCAGGAACAACACCTTGTAACAGAAAGGAAAGAGAAACCTGTATCCATGAATGCTTTTGAGCTTATTTCCAGGTCCCAGGGTTTCAGTCTTGATAACCTGTTTGAAAAGCAGATGGTATGTTAGATGAGGTTTCTTTGTTTTTGAATGATAATATTGCTTTCTTCTCTTTATGTATGATTAATTAGATGGTTCTGTATTTTTCTTTCAATTTAAGGTAGAAATTAGAAACTAGTATTGCTGGCTTAATTTCTCTCCAATGCCCAAACTCCAGGGTCTTGTTAAGCGAGAAACGCGCTTTGCTTCCAAGTGCCCTGCAAATGAGATTATGTCTAAAATAGAGGAAGCTGCAAAACCTTTGGGTTTCAATTGTCACAAGCGAAACTACAAGGTCTTTCTTTGTGCATCTTGATCTGGTTTCATCAAATTTTTATGACTTTTTTTATGCTAACATCTTCAAACAGGTGCTAGTTTGTTTATTTAATCTGGACCAAAAAAGTATGAAGTTTGTGTGTTTATATCATTTGAACTCATGTGACATCTCATTATTCCAACTATTCCAGATGAAGTTACAAGGTGATAGCACTGGCAGGAAAGGCCACCTTTCAGTAGCCACAGAGGTAATGATTAATAACTGGTGAATTTAATTTTTGCTCTATTTTAGTTTTCACCAATAGCACGATACACGGTTGCCATTTGTCTGTTTGGTTGGTTCAGGGATATTTTTTCAACTCAACATCTGAGATCTATATATACTTCAAATTTTACATCACGTTAACTTGATGTGAACATTTGATTTTGTTCTAGTGTTTTACAATTTTAATTTAGGACAACAAAGCCCCCCCCCCCCCCCCCCCCCAAAACGGGGCGGCTTTTTTCTCCCCAAAATAAACTTATAACCGTACTCTTCTGAAAAGAAAAGCATTAGAGGTCTTTGGCCATATGACAGACGATAAAATCATCTCAGTTTGTTGCACATTGGATGAATTGAGTGCATTTTGTTTTTTCATAGTATTTCATTTGAGTTTTTATTGCATTCATTTTAATTCATGAAAAAATACTTGATTCATGCCCACATGGATTGACATTTGGCATCAAAAAATTTGATGGCCATTTCCTTACTGTCTTTTGCTTGTCATTGTGATTCTTTTTTGTTTTGGAATCTTTGAATATAGTTTTCTTTTGCTAAGCACTTCTAGATTGCTGTTATTGGTAAACAAAAATGTTTTCTCATTGATGCTTCCAATATGAATCGCTATCCTGTTTTTCAACTTCAGGTATTTGAAGTAGCTCCGTCGCTACACATGGTGGAACTACGCAAAACAGGAGGTGACACACTGGAGTTTCACAAGGCATGCCAAGACTTTTATTATAATACTTTGCAACACATTTATGTGAAGGAACTTTTTATTTTATTTCCAGGGTTATTAGTTTGTGTTGACTGTTTTTGGTTTTCTGATTTTCCAATCGAATGACAGTTCTACAAGAACTTCTCTTCTGGATTAAAAGATATTGTGTGGCACTCTGAAACAATTGCTGAAAAGCCAAGGTTATCTCTCTCTCTCTCTCTCTCTCTCTCTGTGTTTTAGTTTGTTGTTATGGATACAGCGTCATTTAACTCTGGTTTACTTGCACAGGTCATAATGAAAGCTTGCCATTTGGGGTCCATCTCTTAATTTATTTACCAAATCTGTTTTTAGCCCATTTTACACCCCCAACCTGTGAATTGTCAATGAGAAGGTGGTCCATGGAAGTCATGGATATGCATGAAAGATATTATTAGCAAAATGTGTGGTTGTGATAGATTTTAGAGGTTTGTGCAAAGGGCCAGAAACATTTAGGCTATGTTTGGTTGTGTTAATAGAAACAGATATGGTTCATAGATTAATCTTCCAATGTGGACATCTCAGTTTTACACCTTTGTAAAATATCAATTTGCAGGAGATCATCTTGTGTGTCATTTATGTTTAACCTTGAGTTGTAAAATAAATTCCCTTCCGCTGTATACATTTCTATATTTTATTTTGTGGGCTCTAGATCGAGTTCACAATAAGAATCGTTCATATTATAAGCTCAACAATAAAAATAAATTGTGCAAAAAATCAGTTTCATTAGACATCATTAGATTCATAAATAAATTATATTTTATATTTTTAAATAAATTACAACTATAAAGCTAAATTTTTCATTTTATAAAATAAAATATGATTTATTTATTTATTCATTAATATCTAATAAAGTTAATTTTTTATACAAATAATTTTTACTATAAAATTTACGAAAAGAACTGTTCAATTATTGTTGAGAGCATAGAGTGAGACCCATAAGACCCATAAAGTTAAATATGAAGTATAATAGGACAACCCTGCACTGCATGAACTTAAATGGCAAGCCGACGTTTCGGTTCGACCTAAAGTCTAAAATATTAAACGTTATAATTGAAAGTAAAGATATCAAAAGTAAAATTTTGTAAAACTATAAGGTTGATAAATATAATTAACACTTTAGTTTGAATAAAAAAATAATTAACACTTTAGTAAATGATAACGTTACTGTAATCATATTTTTGTAAATATATTTTGTTTAGTATTTTATGTATTACTATTGTATTAATTTAATAAATCCTACAAATATCTATTAAGAAAAATTGCATTTAAATAGAACCAATTTAAAACAATTACATTTAAAAAAAAAGGGGTAAATTACATTAATACACTTTGAGATTTGGTCCAATTACATTTCATCCTTGATATTTTGGAAATTACATTCACACTCTTGTGATTAATAGTCTCATTCTACAAATTCTCTGCTTATATAAAAATCAACAATTTCTAATAAAAAAAATGGCAAAAATTACATTGGAAAAAAAAAGTAAAGGAAAGAAAAAAAAAAAAAAAGAGAAAGTAAAATAAAGCAAGAAAAGAGAGAAGTTCAATATCTTCATTCCGTCTAAATAATTATAATGATAAGAGATTAGTGTAATTTTCCAAACGTTAGAGGGTGATATGTATTAAATTCAAATCTCAGAAGGTGTAAGTGTAATTTACCCATTAAAAAATATAAGTGAGTTTGTGTCCGGTGAGAGTGAAAGTTTTTGTATTTACACTTTTATAAATGTGTAATTATTTTCAATTGTTGTTTAAATGTAATTTTTTTATTTGTCATTAGTACAATAATAATACATGAAGAACAAATAAGGAAAAATTATAACAAAAAAAAAAAAATCTCAACGGTTTACCTTTGTAACAAAATAAATCATAAATTTTTAATTTTTAATTATCAACGAAACATAGGTATTTTAGTTTAAATACAATGAAAATAGCCATTTTAGATGTTTTATGTATATTTATATTAAATTTAATAACTAAAATACTATTTTTTATTAATTTTAAGTAACGAAAATAAATAAATAATTTAGATTAAAAATAAATCAAAATATTAAAATTTAAATTGATAAAATAAAAAATAAAAATTTATTTTCTTATACGGTGAAACTCTATATATTTTTTTTGGTGGTAATTATCTTAATAAATAATATATAACATATATATATATATATATAATCATAATAATATTACTATTCAAATATAAAGGTGACTATGACATGAATGATGAAACAAAAAGGTTGCATTCAGGCTACAGCTACCTTTGCACGTGTTTCATGTGAATTGAAAAATAATAATGCTACGTAACTCTAAAAAATATAATTATCATAATTTTTAATTAATTGTGATTGATTTAGAAAGAAAAAATAATAATAATAATAAAAATTCATGATTAATTAATATCATTTTGAAGGTCATGAGCTCTCTAGCTTTGGGAATACTAAGTATTTTTAATTAAAAAATAATAAATTAATTAATCAAGAAAGAATAAGAAAAGGTTGCATTAGTAAGTGGTGGGGACCGTAGATTCCCCTGTCCCAAGTCGTTCCAAGGGACCACCCTCTCCCAAAAGCTCAACCAAAGCCCATTTTAATGAAATTGAATTTTGGCCACAAATAGGAATCCGACAAAAATATGATATCTTCGGAACAGTAATAATGATATCCTGGATAGCATTATTATAAATAAAAAATATTAATATAATTCTAATTAAAAAACTCAATCAAAAAACTGATTATTATTTTCATAATGTTTCATTTTGTTTTTTGAATTTAGGTTTGAGGGTTGTTGTGTCATATTTTGGGAGATTTTCTCGGGTCTATTTTGATTATCTAAATAATTCATATTTTAAGATTTATCGATTTTGTCATTCATGAAAAGAATCAAATTAATCGGATATATGCAGCCTCGTGATCAAGTCTTAATTATTTTTTACAAAAAATATTAAAATCATGTTAATTGTTTATTTTACGAAAAATAAATGTGCTTTTGTTATGAAATTACAGGTTTTCAATCAATTTGATTTTTTACATGAATGATTTACTTGATGAACCTTACAATATGCATGATTTGATTCATTAAAAAATGCCCAGAACAAAACTTCATAGCCTTAGAGTAGCCTGTTGTGCCCTATTCCATGAATTTAGGATGACAACAATATACATATATGTACAAATTGTAAACATAAATTTCAGAACATGAACCTTACACTTTGGATCATTTACCATGTGTATTATCAAGAAATCAAGACAAAATGACATACCTGAATCCATTGATGAACGGTTAAACGGAAGCGTGATTATCAATGAACTCTTTGTTATTGATTATGTTATTGCCTTCTAATCCTTTCCCATTTGGTGCCTTATGTTTTTCCTTGAGAGGATTTAGAAAATAAAATGGCAGTGTTCTTCTTTTTTCACCTTTTTCACTTGGGAAGGAATACGGACCATAACCTTTTAAAGGTTGTAATTGGTTTTCATAAGCGAGGACTTCAGTTTGAATAAAGGTATGACTCTTAGAGAGTTTATCCCAATCCTACTGGGAGTCCAAGATTAGCAGTAATCCAAAAACCATTGAAGTTAGACTTCTATTGGGATTAGGTCAGTGTTGGCTATAAAAGAGATGCACCCCCGTGGGTCTAAGGTACGCTTTTGATATTCTGAATAGTGAGTTAAGCAATTTTGCTATCTTTGAGAGATAACAGACTTGATCGTCGAAGTGCTCTCGGGTGGACGAACCACCGCCGGAATCTTATCTTTTCTGTGACAGGTCGTTCGGGCTTAATCTATTCTATCGGTGCTCTCCAACTGAGTACCTGTTTGGCAGTGTGGTCGAAAATTGACACACATTACACATCAACAAAATTACCATACATAATGTTGTTCACAAATCAAAATAACATAAATCAAAAACAAAAGTTTTCCTCCTAATTCTTTGTAGGTAACAAAAACAAAAGTTAGTCGCATTTTTCACAGGCATGCATTCCACAAGAAGCAAACTCCTATTCGGGAAATATCTGAAAATAAAAAATAAAAATAATTAATGACAATATAATTATGTGTTAATATGTTAATTACAAAAACACAAAAATTTAACTACCATACAATTACAAAGATAATTAAGTAAATAATTTTGCCTAGATCAAAATCCAGCTCTAACTCCCAAACTGGGAAGCCGATTCGAGTCTTGTTTTCTCCCACAAGTCTCTCGTGCCAAAGCGGTCGTGTGTGCCAAATTTCGTGCTAATCCGCTGTCGTTTGGTGATTTTAGGGCATCAACACCTCGAATTCTAAGTTTCTTAAGGAACTAGTTCACCTAGACCAAAATCTGACTCTAACTCCCAAATCGAAAATCTAATTCGAGTCCCGTCTTCTCCTACATGTCTCTCATTCCTAGGCGATCGTGTGTGCCAAGTTCCGTGCTAATCCAATGTGGTTTGATGATTTTGGGCCGTCAACACCTCTAATTTTAAGTTTCTTAATGAACTAGTTTGCTTAAACAACAATTCGGCTCTAAGTATCAAACCGGGAACCTGATTCGAGTCTCGTCTTCTCCCAAAAGTCTCTCGTACGTAGGCGGTTGTGTGTGCCAAATTTCTTGCTAATCTGACGCCATTTGGTGATTTTGTGGCGTCAAAACCTCAAATTCTATGTTTCTTACGGAACTAGTTTGCCTAGACAAAAATTTAGCTCTAACTCCCAAACTAGGAACCTAATTTGAGTCCTGTCTTCTCCCACAATCCTCTTGTTCCTAGGCGGTCATGTGTGCGAAATTTCGTGCTAATCCGATGCTGATTGACAATAAGTTATGTCAAATAACAAATCTATCTTTTGATGGATTTATTATTCACATTAGGTTTTCTTGACAATTGGCACATGTTTATCACCACAAAATGTGTGTGTAATTCTGCCAAGTCTTAATCATGTCTTTGGACCGATAAATACCCGCATGAGATACACAGACATGAACTTCAAAACATTCCATATAAAACAATCTAGACAAGAGAGATCACTTTTGTGACATCTTTTTTGAATTGACTTATATTGAGAGTGTTAGAAAATTAAATTTCTGTAGACGTTGTATGAAATTACATTAAATTTAAAGATTTCTAAATTTGTGACCCCGTATATGCTATATAATCTGAAGCAATTCCAATTATATATATACAGATATAAATAGAATTGGCGGGGCCAAAAAACAAATAGTTTTTTTTTTTTTTTTTGATGTTCAAAATTAAACCGATCAAATCGCAAGATATATCTATATATATATATAAATACATGATGTTCATCCATTTGAGAGAAAAAAAAAAAACTGCCCACCGAATCATTTTACAATTCCAGAAAACAAATTGCTATTTTTACAGAACAAAACAGGAAAAAACAGAATTTACATCCATAAGAAAATTCAGAATCTGATTCCAGGAAACTAAATAAAATGAATAAAGCATATCAATTCTGATAAGACACATGATATGCATGCTTTGATACCAATTGTCAACATAAATTTCAGAACATAAACCTTATACTTTGGATCATTTACCATGTGTATTATCAAGAAATCAAGACAAAATGACATACCTGAATCCATTGATGAACGGTTAAACGGAAGCGTGATTATCAATGAACTCTTTGTTATTGATTATGTTATTGCCTTTTAATCCCTTCCCCTTTGGTGCCTTATGTTTCTCCTTAAGAGAATTTAGGAAAAAAAAATGACAGTGTTCTTATTTCCACCTGGGAAGGAATAGGGACCATAACCTTTTAAAGGTTGTAATTGGTTTTCAAAACTGAAAGGTTGTGGAAGTTCAAAAGGAATGAAAACCAACTTTAACCAATATGTTTTAATTTCTATTTCTGCCCCTCATAGAAATAGAAATTATACAACTAGTAACTACACATTAGGTCCATAACACATATACCCTTAAGCCTATTAACTAAATTGAATCACTTAAATTGTAGGCTTCTTATAAATGATAACACCACATTTAATTATGTGGTCCCATTGAGACATTATCTAACACAAACACCAAATATTCGTCCAATGCGTACTCCTCGTGATCAAGTTTAACCTCCTTCAAATGGTGTCGTATACCTGAAAACACAATTCAGGTGAGCTTACCGGCGAGTGTGTGCCAGAAAACCCTTCCGATACTTAAGTTAGCTTTTAAGATCAATATGAGAAAAATTTCTCTAAGAATTATGTTGGATTAGGTTAACTCCAAGCCTTTTATATGTTCTGCAAAGCAGAATTCTAATGACTTTAATTCTTATTCGTAGAATCCCACTAAGAATCAACCTCTTAAAGGATAGTGTCCATCCTTTAACACCCTGATCGCCTAAGTTCAAGTGAAATGGCCTAGCTCCCAGGTTGTTAACCTGATCAAGCACACCATTGGCTCGGTTGCACATCAATCGTGTAACAGCTTATGGCTAATGACTGACTAGTAGAACAGGGCTAAAATCGAACATTGACATCGTGTTAAGTTTGTTCGGTTCATGCCAAGGTTGAAACCACCTTACCAGTCAAAAACTTAACTAGACCAGTCTATCTTGTGTTAGTCCACCCGAAGTTTGTATTCCAAACAATTGGATCTTCCACACGACAAACATCTCAAGATCAATTCTGCTCGGTCAACACGATACCAAGCTGTCTGTTTGGTCGACGGTAACAAGCCGTTTCTCCGGTCCAACATCTTTTGTCTGGTCTAAACTTTCATCCCGACTAGCCTTCAGTATAGCCCAAACCTTCAAGTCCTTTAGTCATCAAACTAGCCCAAAACTATGTCTCATACTAATTTAGCCCGGCCCACTAGCTTAGTGTAAATTACCCTCTCAATATGCATTAAAGTTTAAATTAACTTGAAAGATTATTAAAGTTACCAATTGATTGAAGCATTTCCGTGCCATGAAACCAGGGAACACAAATGAGTAGCATGTGCAAATGTCACTCCAAATAAAGCCTAGACATTGCTTGCAACTTTCGTTACCCAAAATAAATAAATAAAAGTTCTCAATACAGCACAACTGGTACTCACCAACATGACACCTAAGAATCTAAATTCAAAATTATTACAAACATACTCTACTACTATTACACACACACACACACACACATTTATATAAATATATACACAAAGAGGTAATTACTATTACTATTACAATTCCTGTTCCTATTATTGGTATTCCTAACAAGTCTGTCCTACCCCCAACCTCCTAATCAGAGCAGCTTTAATTCCATCCTCACTTGTCAACCCTTGTTGATTGGGAGCCCTAATCACCACATCTTGAAGCATGAGATCATTAACGCTAGACATGTTAGCATGGTGGACCTCCAATTCCAGATCACGAATCGCGTCCATTAATCTTGCCGATGGATAATTTGTATTCTCTGATTGAACCCTTATCAAGGCATCTGACCCCACAATCTTCACCTCAACTTCAACCCCTAGGGCCACTACCCCACCAAATGGGTTATTATTATTATTATTATTAGCCCTTGTTTGGTCCACCGAAGTGGTGGTGGTGGTGTTGGTGTTGGTGGCAGTGGTGGTGGTGCTCTGATTGTCAGTGGCGTCCGCCATTTCGATCTTCATCTTCTTACTGTTGGTACAATTATTAGAGTCTTGAATTTGAAGCTGTGATTTCAAATCTTCCACTTTGTTTTTGAGCTCGTTGATGTAAGACACGGCGTCCGACAGCAGAGACGCCTTGTCCATCCTCGACACGTTGGGAACCACTGCCCGGAGGGCATAAAACCGGTGGTTGAGCTTCTCCCGCCTCTGCCTCTCTGCCTCCACGTGGTTCAGCGGCGTTTCTCTACCAACTCCCGGCTTTCTCCCCCTCTTCTTGGGGGCTCTCTGCTGCGGCTGCGGCTCTAGGATTGGAGTAACAAAAGGACAATCCGAATCAGAAAGAGAATGCTCTGATTCTACATAAGAGCGTTTTTTTGTGTCTCCTTTGTTGTCTCGTTCGTACTCTTCTTGTTGAAATCCAGTAACTAAACCGATGTCAGCGAAAGAAATGTTGCGATCAAGAAACTGTATTGAATGATTTGGTTGCTTTGGGATGATGAGATCTGACCCAAACAGAGACTTGGCCTGGTTCACCAAACCCCAATTCTCTTTGATCATTTCGCTGGAACCCATTTCAAGAACACCACAAGAAGTGGGAATACAAACCAGAGTCACAATTCCATGGATCTGAGCTTCTTTAGCTCTCTCACAGTTATAAAACTGAAGTTGATGACCACCGGTTAACCAAACCAGAGACCCAGAACTAAAAGCCTTCCCGGGAACTCCATCTCCGGCCGAGAAAGACCTTGTCAAAGACATGACATAGAACCATTCCGCATCCGTGACATCATCATCTTCACTGCAGTCGATGGTTGTTTCGTTGACATTTTCATTGATCATCATGGAAGCTTGTAAGCCTCTCATGAGTTCTTTCCTTCGCTCGGCAACGGAGTTTTTATTAGTAACTTTGTCTTTGTTATTGCTTCTGGTTCCTTGGAAATGGCCGTCTCCCCAGCTGAGGAAGAGGCGGCGGCCATTGTGGTCGTTTGAGGATTGCCAGAAAATGGAATAAGACCACCACTCTGGCTGATTTTGGACGATGAATTGAAGCCTTTGTTGGAGGGTTGGTGGGCTTTCATGGGATGATGAGACAACTGAAGAGGATGATGATGATGATATGATTAATTCATCCATGGTTTGTGTTTATGTTTATGGAGAGAGACAGAGAGAAAGGGGTGAATTTTGATGACGAAGAGAAAACAGTGTTTTTGGAGAGTGGAAGGAGTGAGATGAAGAACAAAAGATTCTATAAGAGTATCATGGCAAAAGTAGTGGTTTTGGTTTGTGTAGGGGGTATGATATTGTCTTGTGTTGGGGGGTGAAGTGAATGGTGATATCCCCACTTTATGTTTTGCTTTTATTTTATTTTTTCTAAGTAAAAATTCAGTGTTGGTTGGGGATACTTATAGATGTGTATGTTGCTTAAATACACAGATAGAAGGAACAGAGTAAACACAATCAGGGAGAGAGAGGTGTGGTCCTAGTATGGAGCATCCATACTTTCTTGGCAAAATTAGAAATCAGTGTATATTTTTAAAAATAATATTAAATTAGTGAGAAATTGTATCAATTTTAATAATTAAAATTTTAATTTTTTTCTATGAATTTATATATAAAAAAATTATGAAATTACCATTGATTTATAATTTTTTCCTTTGTTCCTCTCTGTTTTAAATATTATTTTAAAGCTTTGATATGATAATTACAAATGTTTTATAATAAAAAGACAAGACAAACATAATAAGAAAGAAACTTTAGTTTGAATGATATATAAGTTTACGTTTTTAGATTCACTTTCTAGATTTAGTAATGTATCAAGAGGATGATTGATTAATAATTAAAAAATATTTAACTATTAGCTAATTATTTTCTTAATATATTACTAGGTCTAAGGTGTTTCAAATCAATCACATAAGAAAAGAAAAAAAAATTAAAAAATGAATATTTTTTTTAAATTATTGAGAGACCAAAAAAAATCTACATAATGAAAATATAATTTTCTATTTAATAAAAATATCACATAAATAATACTACATAATACTTTAAAAATATTTAATAATTTTTGTATCAATTAATAAACTTCAAAATATTTCTGATGCAGACGTCACCTATCACCTTATTGACATAACAATTAATAATAAAAAAATTTATAAAATTGATTAATTTAAAGTGTGGAGGGTCCAATTGATGTGTCTTTTGTTGTTTGTTGGGCAGCAGAGAGGGCACGTGAAGGGAAAGGGATGGGCCAGAGACTGACGGGCCAGACCGTATACCAGTGGGATCGGGTCTCCTTTTCTGTTTGCCTTAAGCACACCATTTCACCTCACATGTACATATCAGCAATGCTATGGGGAAAAAAATAAGACAAATTAAGATTTGATTTTTATAATAAAATAATTTTTTTATTTTTATTTTTATTTTATTAATTTCAATATTTAATTTTAAATTATTTTAAATTTAAGTTATTTATCTATTTTTGTTAAATAAAATTAATAAAAAATAACTATTTTAGTCATTAAATTTAATGAATAAGGGTATTTTATATCTTATATATATATATTTATTTATATATTTACATTGAGTTTAATAATAAAAAATATACTTTTTTTTTGTCAATTTTAATTAACAAAAATAGGTGAATGGTTTATGTTGAAAATAAATCAAAATATTATTATTTAAATTGACAAAATTGAAACTCATGATTTATTTTATTAGAAGGCTCAAATCTTGAATTTATTTATTATTATTTTTTTTTGTAATTATCTGAAAACAATTACGCAAATTATCTCAAAGCCTTTTCTGCTCGAGATTCGATGGATCCTAAAAACTTTCCGATTATTTGATCGATTGTTTAGCAATAATTTTAAAATATTTTTGTAACACCCTTTTTTTTAACTTCCAATATTTTCGTATACATATGTTAGTAAAATTTTAGTTTCAATGACATCGACATAAGTCAATTGACAAGTTGATTCAAAATTCCACAAAAGTATAGTTAAAAAATGTTGAAATACAAAATATTATATATTTAGGAGATCTCATAATTTCTATAAATTACGGTTAGTTAGGAATTTGATTTTTAAAATTTGGTTATGTAATTATGTAATTCTTTTTTCCTATGTATCTTATATTGATTATAAATAGATATGGTCTCACCCAAATTAGGTTAAGTCAATATTGTACAATTCTCTTCTTGGTATTCGAGCCAAAGAAATCCTAGCCACACCTACCTATCATCATTGCTAGCCTCTCCTTCCTTTCCTAATAGCTGACTCACCTATCCAGCCTCCTTCAACCACCTTATGCCACTCGAAACCCTTTCTCTCTCCCTCGGCAGTCCTTTCCAGTCATTGCTAGGGTTCCTACAGTAGCCGACTAGGCTTTGTCCTGGTTCTGTGCAGATCGACATCCTTCTAGGGTGGTTCGGGCTGGTTTTTAACCCTTTTAGGGTTGTGTGTTCCTTTATTACTTGGACCGTCAGTTTGTTCGGTAGCATTTCTTTTGTATGACACCGCTACTTTGGCTTAAGCTGGGTTTGGTTGACATCTTTGATCTAGCTTGAGAGGGAGTGCTGGAATACAAAATATTGTATATTTAGGAGATCCCATGATTTCTATAAATTACAGTTATTTAGAAATTTGATTCTTAAGATTTGATTGTGTAATTATTTAAATCTTTTTTCCTGTGTATCTTATATTGATTATAAATAGACACGGTCTTACCCAAATTAGGGTAAGCCAATATTGTACAACTCTCTTCTAAAAATCAAGTAGTTGAATTTTATGTCTCAATAAATTCAATGATTTCTTTAGAGTACATTGATGAAAAGAAATAAACTAAAATTTGTAATAAACAACAAAAATTGTTATTGATTACAAAATCAGAAACAAGATCAAGAACAAGAATAAAGAACAAGTCACAAGCTAAATTCGTGACTACAAAAAAAACTATTCCTAAAAAAATTAATTGCAACTACTCCTAAATTCATAAGTGTTGTGAATGGGTTTGATGATATCCTCTACATTAGCCATAAGATGCTATTTATAAGAAATGTAAGAAATATTCTGTTGGAAAAATAGTTTGGAAATCATTAATAGATGAATGAGAAATTAACTCCAAAGTGTACCATTTGAGAATGGTTTTAAAACGAAACTTATTCAATTTAAAATTTGATTTTATTTGGATAAATTTGTTAATTTTTTGAGTCAAAATTAAACACAATTCCATTCAGAATTCGAATTCTTTTGAAAAAGCAATTATGTCTTTTTCAATTGCACATTTTCATGGAAAATAGGTGACTCTTTTGAAAAGTCACTATGACCATTTGAAGAGTCACCAATTCACCCATATAAATAGGCCCCCATTGCATTCATTTTGCACGGAATTCATCTTGCGTTTCTTTCCTCTTGCACTTTGTCTTTCTTGTAAGAGAATTTTGTACAGTAAGGTTCAGTAGATGTGCCGTGGTAGTACTGCTTTTGCAAGGCTCGATCAATGTATCCTGGGAGACGAACGTTCGATAAAAACTCGTGAGCACCATAGCAAAGGACAAATTAATCTTAAGGAAATTGTGTCCAACACAAGCCTCGATCACATTTGGTTTTGTTTCCAGATTTTACAATCTATTTGTAAATTTTCTACATCTTCGCAAGTCTTTCTGGTTCTTTGTATATTGTTTGGTTTAGTTTTATCCAAATAATTTACGTTATGTTCAACTTATATTTTTTTTAAAATATAATTTGGTAATATATTTGATGCAATGATTACATATTTCACACCGTACACATAAGAGATTATTCTTACAATCTTAAGACAAATTCGAGTTCTATTTTATATAGAATTGTCTTATTTATTAGTCTACTGTATTTGTTGGTTCAATTTGTTTTATCCAGAATTTATATGATTCTGTAAAATCTCACTATTTTAATTTGTATAGAAATAATTTGTTTTAAATTATAATCTCTGTTCGATTAAATACAGGTTTTTTCTTGTATTTTGTTTAAATCGATGAGCACTTTTCAATATAAGTTTTTTTTTACCTAAATCTATGTTTGAGTCCGATTCTATTTCTTATTATTTGTTATTACAGTATTATTTTTTTTTTATAATTTTGTGTATCTATTAGAAAATAGTTAAGAAATAATCTGATTTTGTTTCAGATTCTCCTTTAAAAGGGTTCATCCCTTTTGTTACTTCAGAAATCGATTTTTACAAAAAAAATTTAAAATGATTTAAGATTTTTGTATTAATCATAATAATCTGCAGAGTAAATTGATTAATGTATCAGATACCGAGGTTTTGTGTTTGTTTGTTTTTGTTAATACTTCCTTTGTTTATTAGGATGAGGGGTCACTGCTGTGCGTGAAGTACAGCAGTGACTGTGGTACCTCTATTTGAGGTGTATTATGACCTTATTTTTATGATTCAAATCGTTTATTTTGTAAGATTTATTGAGTACTTCATGCCTACCAAAAATGATATTAATCGGATATCAAAAACTATATGATCGAATTGCATATTATTTATGTTATTTCTCAAAATAAAACTTATTATTTATTTTTTTGGTTGTTGATCATATAATTTTTGATATCCGATTAATATGATTTTTGGTAGGCATAAAGTACTCAACAAACCCTACAAAATGAACAGTTTAGATCATAAAAATAAGATTATAATACATCTCAAATAGAAACACCACAGTCACTGCTGTGCTTCACGCACAGCAGTGACCCCTCATGGCATGAAGTTTGAGCCACACTATCTTTTTCACTGCGTAAGGATTTTTCTTGGTTGGTTAGAATTTTTTGAAGGGCAAATTACATATACACCCCTCGAGGTTTGGCTAAATTACAGATACCCCTGAGGTTTCGGAAATTACATCCCGTCCCCTGAGGTTTGTATTTTTATAACAATTTGCCCCCTGAGGTTTATATTTCATAACAAATTACCCCCTAATTTCTTATGCAAATATAGCATTCAGGGGGAAATTCGTAATTTCTCAAACCTCAGGGGGGTATTTGTAATTTAGCCAAACCTCGAATAGTTTCCAAATTTTAAAACCTTGAACCGTCATGTAGAATGATTACCATGTGAATGCGTCTATAGTCATTAGTTTGCTTGACATTAGTTAGATACTTTATTCAGTCAAAATTGGCACTTCGATCGTTGGAACTCAATTTTATATTGTGTTTATGTAACACTAGCTTATTACCTGTGCTATGCACAGGATAATTATACATATTTATATTTATTTTAGATTTTTTTTAATATATAAATTATATTTTTAAAGATTTTTTATAAAAATAATTTAACAATCTTATCACTAACCATAGTATATGAGAGAAGTTGAAAAGGGTATTGCAGTAACTATATACGGATTGTATCTATAATTATTT